TACAGAGCTATAACACAGTCAAAGGCTGACCGCGTCTACAGCTGAGATCTGGGCTAAATATATAAACAGGCATACCGGCAGACGCAGCGACGCTGCCACTGGTACGCACGTTTCTTATTTGACACGCCTCCATTCCTCAGATTGCTTGTAGCCTATGTCCACAGCGTCATGGACGTCCAGAATAACTTGTATCTCCGCACAAATGCACGTGTATCTCGTGTTATCTTCGAGGGCAACAAGGCAGTCGGTGTGGCCTACGTGCCTTCCAGGAATCGTGTCCATGGCGGCAAAGTCCAAGAAACCATCGTAAGTTCCATGTCTAATTTGTAATGATCACGGGCGCTGAACGACCACCAAGGTACGAGCACGCAAATACGTTGTGTTGAGTAGCGGAACCTTGGGAACGCCACAAGTGAGTAAGCTGACTGTGGAACAGAAGAAATATAGCTCACGCTAGTAGATTCTTGAACGTTCAGGAGTTGGTAACTCACGCCTCCTGCAGAAGATGGACATCAAAGTCGTCAGCGACCTCCCAGGTGTTGGGTACGCCTCTCGCTCCTACATCCAAATTGCCTTCTGACTCGGACGTGGCGATGCAGCGAGGAGTACCAAGACCACTACACAACCCTCTCTTGTTCGTGATGTTCCTTATTTTACCTGAACCGAGGCTTGATTGTGTTTACTAGTGTATCGTGTGTCGAACGAAACGAATACGCTGGATGACTTCCTACGAGGTGATAAGGATGTTCAGAAAGAGGTAAACGTGGCTTACGAGAGATCCGCTTGCGTCTCTAACTCTGATGTCTATCCGCGTCACAGTTGTTCGCTGAGTGGGAAACCAGTCCCGAGAAGGCGCGTCTGTCCTCGAATGCCATTGACGCAGGCTTCAAGGTAGGATCAACGTCTCGTAATGGTCGTGGCATCCAATAATAAGGCTCTTTCAACGTCCCTCACAGATCCGCCCGACCGAGGAAGAGCTCAAGGAGATGGGGCCCGAGTTCAACGAGTTGTGGAACAAGTACTTCAAGGATAAGCCGGACAAACCCGTCATGTGAGTCCCCTTCGTCTCTGAGCTCTACAGCTTTGTTCATTCGGCTGATTGCATTGTAGGTTTGGTTCGATCGTGTCTGCAGGCAAGTCAGACGTGCACAGTGTGGAGAATGTTGTTAACCCAGCTTACCCTTACCAGCCTACGCCGACCACACCCTCCTTCCCCCCGGGAAATACGTGACGATGTATGCCCTAAGTTCCACAGTCATCATCCTCGTTCACAACTAACACCCCCCTCTCAACAGGTTCCAATATCTCGTATGTCTCATGCCCCGACTATTCCTCTACGCCTCACGAGCTAACTCTGTACTAGGAATACCCTGCTAGTCGCGGAAAGGTACGTCATCCGCTCGCCCTCAGACGATACGCAAAAGAATGTCACAGGACTCACATATACACTGGTAGATTCACATCCAATCGAGCAACCCCTACGAGCCGCCCTTCTTCGACAGCGGTTTCATGAACAACAAGGCAGACTTCGCGCCCATTCGCTGGAGCTACAAGAAGACCCGCGAAGTGGCTCGACGCATGGATGGTGAGTCTCCTAGCCTTATCTCTCCGTGTCGTTCTATGACGAACCTCGCCAACCATTTCCAGCTTTCCGCGGCGAATTGACGTCGCATCACCCACGGTTCCACCCTGCGTCGCCAGCAGCGTGCAGAGATATCGACATCAAGACCGCGAGGGAGATCATGCCCAATGGGTTCACTGTCGGTATCCACATGGGTTCGTCTTCACCGTCTCACCAAGAAAACACATACTGAGTAGATTCCTCGTTAGGCACCTGGCATGCGTAAGTGAAATCTGCATACCTCTGACTCAAATGCGTTGTTGATTGTTTTTCGTTTGACTTGTGGCTGGGTACTTGTGGGTGGGTATTGCGATTCCATCGGCGATTGTTCAGTCCTGGCGAGCCATTCGACGCGAGTAAAGTGCATGAAGACATCAAGTACACTGAAGAGGACGACAAGGCCATCGATGACTGGATCGCAGGTGAGGTCTCCCCAATTAACGCTTGAGAGCTTGAACATGACACTGCGAACACAGACCACGTTGAGACTACCTGGCACAGCCTCGGTGAGTATACTAACAATCCGAACGAACTACGAACTCATGCACTGACCGCTCTCGTGTTACACAGGCACTTGCGGTAAGAAGCACCATCGGTGCCTTTGGTTCATGATTGAAGCGATTGCTGAACTCCGTTGGTGACCCCTAGCGATGAAGCCGAGGGAACAGGGCGGTGTCGTCGATGGCCGCCTCAACGTCTACGGTTAGTGTGGGGAATTACCACTCTCAACACTTCCAATTTAACTTGCTCCCAGGAACGGAAAACTTGAAATGCGTTGACTTGAGTATCTGCCCCGTGCGTGAAATAGACATTATGGATTACGAGGTGGAAATGTATACTGACACCCTCATGATCGTTGCAGGATAATCTCGGCACCAACACGTACTCGTCTGCGCTGCTTGTAGGCGAGAAAGGCGCAGACTTGCTGTGCGAGGATCTAGGTAAACGCTCGAAAAGTAGCGCATCATGTGTGGCGGGAGTTGATATCTTTTGTAGGCATCAAAGTGAGGACTCCTCATGCACCAGTCCCACACGCTCCAGTGCCCCAAGGTGTCCCCGCAACGCAGCAAGTTCGCTGAACGGCTTAACAACGCGACGTCAGTGAATCCATCCATTACGCTTAAAGGGCGCTCCGCTTCCATATCCCTCGATTTTCCACATTTCTTTCACCTTTACTCTCACCTTTACTCTTCTAACAATCGGAATTCGTTCGTGGTGGTCTTGTATGAGTATTGTATGTATTAGCACAGTATGGCCAACGATGTCAACAGTTACATTTCCCCGCATTCTACACCAAATATCGGATGTCACCAACAATGAACTTCAAGAAAAGCGGAGGGTGACGACGGGAATGGCACATACCAGTAATCTTGACGACTAATTTAGGTCGATTATTTGGGCCAGTCGGCACATTCTCGATTTTGCGCAGCGTGAGCATTCCGTCGATGACGCGCCCAAAAACGACATGTTTCCCGTCGAGGAAGTCGCATTTCGCTGTAGTGATGAAGAACTTGCAGACGAAGGTTAACAGTTAATTAGTTTTGATGTTGAAAGTCAGAGGTAACAGGCGCACTTGGCATCCGTTCGTGTTAGGGCCAGAGTTTGCCTACGGGAAGGAAGGAAGAGTTCAGACTTGTATGCCCTCGAATTGGTGATACACCCACCATGGAGAGTAACCCTGGACCTGTGTGCTTCTCCATGAAGTTTTCGTCCTGCAGAGATTATGAGTTGTAAGCCGTAGATAATAATGATAAAGCATGGTAAGTGTTCACCGGGAATTTATCGCCGTATATCGAAAAGGATCCAGTACCATCCCCTTTCATAAAATCGCCGCCTAGAACACAAGATTCAGAGGGTATTATGATACACGCGCGTCGAGAGTGAACACAAACCTTGGCACATGAAGTTTGGCACTCTGCATGTTAGTGAGCGATGATATGAATCCGGGCATGAGACAAGCGTGCAGGTGTTGCTTACACTCTTTTGATGGATGTTCGTCAGTCCATTTACGCTTCAATGGGAATACAGTACGTACCTGTGGAAGGTTGCATTTTTGTACCCTTGTGGCCGCGAGTTCACGCTATACCCAGCGCCTCAATCAGGATGCCCAATGTCGCTCGTAGGTAAGTACATACCGGAATTCACCCGTGCATAACTGGCGGAAATTCTCAGCTGTCCTTGACTATTGATTAATGACCCGCTTACGAGGCAGAGGGTGAATGCCTCACTTCGGAACAATGTCACTGAATAGCTCCATTTTCATTCTTCCGGCTGGAGTTTCACCTATGTTGATGTCCATAAAGACTATCGGTCGGTTAGACATGATGGTATGAGTTGAACTTGAATTATCAGTGAGTTGAGCGCTTAATCACTGATAAGATATAATCAGAGATTCACACGGTCACAACGCTCTTACCCAGTGTCATTTTGCTCAAGCGCTCCTTCTCGTCATCTCCTTCCTTTGAATAATGTCGTATTTCCTGCCTCACCTTCCCTCCGGTTGGCACGTCGACGAAGCCATCAAATCAGAAGAAGACAGAGTAGTCGTGATTCGCTTTGGCCACGACTGGGACACACAATGCATGGTCATGGACGAAACCCTCTACGCTGTCGCCGAGAAGGTCCAGAATTTCGCCGTCATCTACCTCACTGATATCACTGAGGTCCCGGATTTCAATAAGGCGAGTCTGGTAACGGTGGATTAATTTACGCATCCCTCTGATATCCTGAATAATAGATGTATGAGTTGTACGATCCTTGCACTGTCATGTTCTTCTATCGGTTAGTATTCGAATGCAATCATTTTTGCATGTCAGTCTGACATGAAGTATGCCGCTAGCAACAAGCATATTATGATTGATCTAGGAACGGGGAATAACAATAAGATGTGAGTACATCGATGTTGCATTTCACCTTGCCCCCCCAACTTATCGTCTGCCATTCCCAGTAATTGGGCTATGGATAATAAACAGGAGGTCAGCATGCTCATCATTGCTCTACGGGAGACCTTTTAATCGCGAAACAACAGATGATAGATATCATTGAGACGGTTTATCGCGGGGCATCGAAAGGGCGCGGTCTGGTCGTCTCTCCGAAAGGTTCAGCCCTCTTTTCTACTAGCCTTCGCCCAGAACTAACCGTTTCGGTAGATTACTCGACGCGTTATCGATACTAGTAATTTCGCTAAGGAGGACTTATGTGCGTTCATATATTCCGCCCTTCGCTCCGGTGCCTTCCCTAGCCGTAGGCAATGATGAGGCCTGTCATATAGTGTTTGTATCTAACAATGAGGGCTGATGAATACTTGGGTACTCAAGTACTCACTGCTTGACTTGCAAGACAAACGGCGACGAAAGCAATCGCACATCGAATAAAAAGCTGGACACATTGGGAATTGAACCCAACACCTCCCGCAATCACTAACTCGTGCTAAGCGGGCGTGATAAACCAACTACACCATGTGCCCTTGACGGTTATTGATGTTACAGCAATCACGCCCGAGAAAGTTGATCAACGATTAATCAATCATCAAGCGCCGCCCATTTGTCGGAGACATGCCAGGCACTGCAGCGTGCGGACTAGCCCTGAAACGATTTGTCCGTGGACCCTGGATAGAAAATTTGGTATAAAGATAGTTCGATGCGGTGGCCCTTGCGTTGAAACCTTTGCGCTTTCACTTGTTCAGCATGACTCGTCTCTCCGTCGTTGCTTCGTTGCTCCTCGTCGCCTCAGGTAGGCGGTGTATCCTTGCATGATCTTGACAATTCACGAAGCTACAATCGGATATAGTTGGTGCAGTAGAGTTGATTGCGCGAAGCGCGGATGAGTTGGGATCGCTCTTCACCCGTCAGAGCACCATCTTGGACCCAGCCGACATTCCCTCTGCCGTGAGCAAGCTGTGAAGTTACATTCCCTGGTATCATATATTCATCATTCCACAGTGCCAATCCCAATGCACGCGAATAGTCAGCGCCTTAAACGTGAGTGCCTAGCGCCTGCATTCCCGTATTGCCACTGATTCCATCAATTTGCAACAGTCGTGCACGACCACTACCTGTATTTGTACGAATACCAACGCCAGGGGGCTCGAGGCATGCGTCAACTGCCTGGTGTCTTTAGCAAACACGCCTGCCATGCAAACCCAGGGTCAAAGCATTCTTGACAGTGAGCGCTATTCCGGCTGGATCTATCCCAGAGGCATTGATTGTCCCCCGTTCCAAAAGACTTCGTCGCCGGTTGCGGCGGAGCTGTCTCCCCCTTGACCATCGCTGGTGGGTCCACCGCCTCGGCCTCGGCCCCCACTGTCTCCAGTGCGAGTTCTGTCAGTTCCGGCAGTGTTACCACAACCCCCCTCACTTTCGCCCCAACCTCGTCTTCGTCATTGACATCCCCGCTCACCTCGACTACCCGCACATCCACCGCCCCGCAACAAACAATTTCGGACATAGGTAGCGGAAGTAGCAGCGATGATCCCTTCAGCAGTGGGGCTATGGCACTCGGCCAAGGCGCTGGTTTCATATCGGCGGTATTGGCTTGTGTCGCCGCTGGTGCTGTCTTCCTCGTTGTGTAACCATGTGGAATGGAAGGTCGATTGTAAGCGGCAACCCTCATCTTCGCCTTCACCAATGACATTGCTTATATATCACGTAGTGTACTTACTTGTACGGCAGACTTTGATCATTTTTGATTTATTGTTGAGCAAACGTAAGACTTTCACATACGCCGACAGTCGCGGTTCTATGTTCCTGCATTCACGCAGAACAGAAATTTTTGAACGGCAGCTCCTGGATATGCACGGCACACAATGCTACACACAAGGCACCTCACCTGAATAGAGTTCCCCAGTCAACTGGAGGTGTGGGCACACGCACCTGTTGGATAAGATATCGATTACTCAACCAGTGATGCCCGCTGTCCAATGTCAAGATGGACGCCCACCAAACCTATTAAAAGAGGGAGCATGGGGCCGTCCATAGACATCCGTTTCTTCCTTCAGTCCTCGAAGATGTTTGGTGTGCTCACGACGACGGTGGCCATCCTGATTGGCAGCGCTTCTGTACAAGGTATGTAGCCCTTGCACAGAAAGAGTCGCAACTAGTGCTTATCAATAACAGTGATAGCTAGTAGGCTTTCTGATGCTCTCCAACCCAGCCGTCTCCGTTTGCATGCCCGCCAGGTCTCTGACCCGGTACCCTTGGACGACTTTCCCGTCGGAGTGAGCAATATTGTGCTGATTTCCCAACCATCATGCTAAACATCGACTTGTCAGTGTCAAAGTCTATGCGTACCTGCTGTTCAGACAGTTAATGTCAGAGGAGTTGTATTCTCCCCCTCACATGAACCCTAATTCCTTTCTCCCTCCTATTAGGACCCTAACTGCCAAACATCTCGATGCGTATGCACAATAGCGAACACAATAGCCCTCGAAGAATGTCTTGATTGCACAGCTTTTGCTACAGGCCGATCAGTGGCGGCTGCGGAAGCTGACGTGCAGTGTAAGTAGCTGGTACTCGTTGTACTATGGTTTTCGATGCAACCGACGAGTCCAATTCCTAGCGTTCATAAATCAATGTGCCAAAGACGGTTTCCCCATCGCTGGGCTCCCAACTTTTTCGATTTCGACGACTCCCCGTCCACTCTCCACGGCCACTCGTAGCAATGGTGGCGTGCCTACGAACTCTGCCAATACTTCTGCCCGGTTGTCTTCTCCGGCCCCAGACACACCTACTTCGGCTGGCGTGCCGACCTCGCAGAATACTATCTCGGCTAGTAACGCACCTCCTGGTCTTCCATCTCTTGGAAACGGCGCTTTCATATCAGAAGTTCGTGGTGGTGCCGTTTTGGCTGTTATGCCTGTGCTAGCCCTGCTCCAGTACATCTGATAGCTACATTTATTAAGACTTCCTTGATACGTATTTATGTATTGAACATTAAAGTTTATCTATCTCAGCCTATAAGGGTATCCTGATCGTGCTCGTCGCCTTCACTCGGTCTGAAGCATTCAGTTTATCCGGGTCCCAGTGATCCATGATGAACTCCTCTATCTTCTCCGTGATCCGTTGTCTGCTGACGCAAACGTTGAGGTCACCCACGAAGGAACGGTCAATAGGGTGGTTCCTTCTCAATACCCCAGGGTTTGCATACATCTCTATCGCGCCTTTGATCACGTTGCAGTCACCTTGATTGGAACAATTTGATTTATTTATTGTTAGAAGTTGTAAGGCGTTTACACATCCCCGACAACCGTGCCCATGCCCTCCAGTGATCCAGCGCATTCTCTATAGGACAGGAATCCTCAGCAGCAGCTTCTTGGACTTGAATGGGGCGATACTACACGCCAGATGGTATCTCACCTGATCCGAGCCCTTGACAAACTGAGGATGGGGTATCTGAGAACAGGTGGGATGCTGTGGGATGAAATGTTGATGAATCACTGATACCCGCCGTCCAATGTCAAGATAGACGCTGTTCGCTTTGCAAGTCTCTTAAAAGGGGGGAACATGGAGCCATTCCTAGACATCCGTTTCCTCCTTCAGTGCTCGAAGATGTTCGGTGTGCTCACGACGACGGTAGCCTTCCAGATCGTCAGCGCTTTTTTACCACAAGGTATGTATCCCCTGCACGGAAAGATTCGTAACTAATGCTTATCGGTAACAGTGATGGCTAGTAGGCTTTCTGATGCCCTTCAACCCAGCCGCCTCCGCGTGCATGCTCGCCAGGTCTCTGACCCACCATTAAGCCTGGACGACTTCCCCGTTGGAGTGAGCAATCTTGTGCTACTTCTCGGGCTGATGTACTTAACACCGACTTGTCAGTGTCAAAGTCTATGCGTATCTACTATTCAGGTGGTTAATGTCAGTGGTCGTACAACTTTCCCCCCCTAACATTCACCCTGATTCTGGTCTTCCTCCCATTAGGACCCTGACTGCGAAACACCTCAATGTCGATGCACAATATCGAACGCCATAGCACTAGAAGAATGCCTCGATTGCACAGCGTTTGCTACAGGTCGGTCGGTGGCGACTGCTGAAACCGAAGTGCAGTGTAAGTGACTGGTAGTCATTGTACTAAGGTTTTCGATGCGACCGACGAATTAAATACCAGCGTACATAAATGGATGTGCCAAAGCCGGTTCCCCCATCCCTGGACTCCCAACCTTTGCGATAACGACGACTCCCCGTCCTCTCTCCACGCCCACTCGTAGCAATGGTGGCGTGCCTACGAACTCTGCCAATACTTCTGCCCGATTGTCTTCTCCAGCCCCAGACACACCTACTTCGGCTGGCGTGCCGACCTCGCAGAATACTATCTCGGCTAGTAACGCACCTCCTGGTCTTCCATCTCTTGGAAACGGCGCTTTCATATCAGAAGTTCGTGGTGGTGCCGTTCTAGCTGCTATGCCTGCGCTAGCCCTGCTCCAGTACATCTGATACCTACATTAATTATTGACGTTTCCTTGATATGTATTTATGTAAAGTTGAATATTAAAGTTTATCTATCTCAGCCTATAAGGGTATCCTGACCGTGCTCGCCGCCTTCACTCAGTCTGACTGAAGCATTCGGTTTATCGGGGTCCCAGTGATCCATGATTAACTCCTCTATCTTCTCCATGATCCGCCGGCTGCTGACGCGATCCCCAATGTTGAGGTCGCCCACGAAGGAACGGACGATTGTGTGGTTCCTCCTCAATACCCCGGAGTTTGCATAGGTCTCAATCGCGCCTTTGATCACGTCGCGGTCGATTTGGCCGCTTTGTTCGTGGCTCTTGAAGACGAGTTGCATGATGATAGTTACGTCAACAACGTAGCACATGAGGCATCGTATGGACTCGTGGCTAGTCCAGGGATTGAGTTAGAGTTCGAGACGTCAAGAGGAGGGCATGAGCATACCTGCGTTGATAGACCTGCCATACCCATGCGGCCAGTCCTAGGATGACGGCAATAGGTATCACAATTGGGGTTGCTAACGGGACAGCAGCAGTTGCTGACGCCAAAGCTGTCACAGCCGGACCGATAGCGGTACTGTCAAACTATCTGAGGGCCTGAAAAGGTTGTAGCTTGCACATACGACGTACAGGCTCTTCACGGGGCTCATGGGCTGTGCCTCGTCTCTCATATCGCATAAGAGCTGAATGAAATCTCCCTTCACCGTATCGCTCAACAGATGCTGCACAGATAGTATGATGAGGCCATCTTTCTCAAGAATGACTTAAATCCCTACTTACCATTTCAGTATCCTGAAAATTCCATACAGCCACGATGTCCTTGTGGATGACGTCCAGGCAGACCTTCAGCGTCCTCCCGGGAAAGTCGGCGCTAGCAGATATCGCGTTCCAATAGCCTATTAAATGATACCGATGATTCACCAAGTCTCTTAGGGGTGGAGGTACGCACGTTTCTTTCCGATTCTGGATGGAACGGTTAGCTATTTCTTGCAAAGGACGGGTGGCACCATATTTGAGGGCTG